TTTAACCTTACTGAGACAAGACTAGGCTGAGTTGCCCAGACCCGACTTGAGCCTGCACTCTACTGCCTCAGGCTCCCAAACTGCTGGGTTTACAGGCTGACACCATCAGGCCCAGCTCATGCAACGTATTAATGATGTCACCTTAGGAAAGATCTTCCCTTGAACTCTTAAAGTTCCACCAGTCACCCCTGCACAGGGTCAACCACATTAGTTAACAGAACTCAGTTCTGTCAATTTGAAATTTAATCAGTCAGTGAAATTTAATCCCTCAATAGGCCAAAATTACAGTAATATAAAATGCCTGAAACAAATTCTTTAAGAAACATCATTTACAGTTCGTCAGTTTGAAATGTCATTAAACCAGCCACTACCGACAATGCTTTACCTATGTATGGATTACTCCATTATACATCTATAGTATCCCCATAATTGCGTCAATGTAATTCAATTATTGGTTATAACCCTATGGATAGTCACACCTAAAACTTTTAGTCTGAAAAGGAAAAAAATGCTAAAAATGCCTGCCAGCATTATTTCATTTTATCGACTGCACTTCTCGCTGACATTGTTTCTCTCCCTAGTATAACGTTCAACGCAGGCAGGAAGTGGGGTGTCTGGGATGGATTCCCATGTCTAGAAAACATGACTCATAGTAAGGTCTTTTAACTAGGGAGTCCTAACAGAAAACAGTACACAGGAGTCTTGAGTTAATGCGTTCAAATCGCACTGCTACAATTTCAAGCTTCTAATGTATTACTTCTTCATTATCATTAGATACACATCCAAAATGAAAACAAACTAGAAACCTGTCACTTGCTAGTTTCGCTCCAAGAATAACTTGGCTCAGGGCAAAACTCGCACACTGCACTCAACAATGAAGACATAAAGGAAAGTTTTTGCACTGTCTTCCAACTCAAGCTTAGCGCAGACACTTGGATGAGCATGGGTGAAGGACCCATCCAAACGGAGGGGGGGAGGTCTTCCGGCGCGATTCCTTCCACGTGCCCAGCTCCTGCAATTCGGCCCACGTGGACAGGCTCCCACGGGAAGGCGTCCTCGAGAAGCCACAGGAAGCCCTTCCACGTCACGCCAGGCCTGGCCCGGAGCCTGCAGGGCTGGGCGTTTGGGGACCCCCCCTACCCCACGAGGGAAGAGCGAGGATGCCCGGCCCGGAGCTGGCCGCCCATCTGCCATCGCTGCCCGCCGCCCTCCACCCGCGAACAAAGCCCGCGGCCGCCCCACGCGGACTTCGACCGTTTCGGGACCCCACGCGCCCGCCTTTTCCGTTGGCCGGGCAGGCGAGCGGTGCGTCCGTTAAGACTCCCGCGGCCGCCCGGGATCCGCGCGCCCAGCACGCTGCACAGCCGCGGGGACCAATCTCGGGATGCCGCCGCCTCCCGCCCGGGTCCGCCCAGCGGTCGGACAGCCGCCCTCCGCCCCGCACCGCCCAGCGGCCACCGAAGCGGCCCGTGAGGCCCACCCGGATCCCCGCAGTAGGCCACCGAGCGCGAGGTCGCGGCCGCCGCCCGGAGCGCACTCGGCTCGCCGCGACCCCCACGAG